CCCCAAAACCCCAAAACCCCAAAACCCCAAAACCCCATAAGGGCATTGAATTTGGAATAAAACAGATATTAGATAATAATTATAAAAATCACTAATGAGAATCCAAGATATATGTATTCTTTTGACTGTAGGTTTCCTTTCGACTACAGTTTACGGAAATTTCGCAGGCTCAGCAGCTGCAGTGGATATTGGAATAGTTGACTAAGCCAAGAAAATTGGCATGCCTATCATTGAACAGACTCTGAATGACTACAAAATGGACAAGATTACCTTCGACGGGGGCTGGGTTGACAATGTCGATCTTTAATTCCAATTCAACAGCTTAGATGCCATTAAGGTTAGCTTTGACGGTTCTTAGAATGCAGTCAGAGTAACTGCTGACAATATCAATGGTACCATCAATGGAGATTTCATGTATAAATTGCTACTCATCCAAGCCAAGGGACACTTTAAAGTGACTTTATTCAATGATGCAGTTAAGTTGGACATGGTTGTTCCACTCACGAGCCAATCCGTCGATGGGAGAAACATGCCAACAGTGGACATCAGCAAGTTCGACTTGGACATTGATCACTTCAAGTTCAGAATTGACATCACTGGAAGCGTCTTAGCAGATATCAGTGACGCCTTCGTAACCATGTTCAAGAAACTGATTCTTAAAGAGATCAATGCAGCCATCAATGATAAAGTTCCAGCACTGGCAAAAGACACAATTAACTCTATGATTGCAAAGACCAATGGCAGAGTCAGTGTCTATGATAAAATCATGATGGATATCACATTCGCCTCTAATCCAGTTATCTCTGACAGCGGCATGGCTCTTTATTTGAACTCTACTGTCTACGAAGAGGGCTCAGGCTACAAAATCCCACTTGTTCCAATTTCAGACATTTAGGTTTTACCTTCAACTCCTCAGTCGGTTCAAGTCTCACTTTCACATTTCGCTGCTGATTCATTCTTAATGGCCCTACAGGAAATGAACCTCTTTAGCTACACAATCAATGATAAGACACTAGGATCAATGTCATCTATGCTAACCACTACATATCTCGATGGTCTTCTTCCAGGACTCTAAGCTAAATATGGTAAAGATTAGCCAGTGACGATCGAAGCCAAAACCTCTTAAGCCCCAAGAACTCTCTTCAAGCTTGACAATTTTGGAATCCTAATGACAATGGACATGATCTTCAGAGTGAATAATGAAGTGGCTATTGTAGTCTCTCTATAAGATTTTGTCTCTACAGTTCAAGTGACTCTCAAGGAAACCAACATGACTGTTAAGGTTCTCACTTGCAAGGTCAGCCAAGTTTCAGCTTCTCAATCTCAAATTGGTGAATTCAGTTCGGACGACTTTAGAGCCTTCTTCAACGTTGGCAGCAAGATTGCCATTCCATTCATCAATAATATTTTCCTCAACACCCCTTTCGTGCTCCCTAACACCTACTTGAATATGGTCAGAATCCAGGCTGCTGAATTCAAATCCTTTGACAACTACCTCGCAGTCAGCGTTACACCTGAGTTTATCGTATGAAGCTATTCACAAATCAAATTCATCATAATTTCCATAAAACTGAAATTTTGATTCACTGGGGTTTTGGGGTTTTGGGG